CGCAACAGGGTAAAGCACCGCATTATGAAGCTCTCCCAAGCCACTGCAGCAGGGACTCAATCCCCAGCCAGGGAGCTGACCCACATGGCGCAGCAGGCCTCTCCTGACCCGCCCGCTGCTCCCCTCGGCAGTATATTTCACTATATCTACCTGTTCTGCTCCCCACTCTGTCACTGGTGGAACCTCTCACCCACCGCACCTCTGGCCTATAGCCCAGTTCTGTAAGCATAAATAAATAAATTTTTTTAAGTGTTCTTAGTGAAAAAACGAGAATGAAGAGTAGGCTCCGCCCACTGCCCACAGCTGCCCAGTCCCTCCCCCACACCTCCCAACTACAGTGGCTCTTAAGACCCAGCTCTGCGCTGTCACCTAGTTGGAGGCCTAACTGAAAGAACCCCATATTTTGTCTGACCCTCGTCCCCCAATTTCCTTCAGCCTATGCTGGTGGCTGGTGTTCTCTCGAATGAGGTGCTTACTTCATTCCCCCTCGCATAAGGAGCTGTGTTGTGTGTCTGTCCTAGGGGCTCATGAGCTCCCCGGGTGGATGAGAAACTGGAGGAAATGAGTGTCTGAAGAACAAAGCAAAGTAAGGCCATGGAACCCATGGCGAGGAGACGTAGGGTGAGTGTAAAAGTTCCTAGTCTGAGGGGAGAAAATAAGAAGAATAATGAACAACAGTATACCAGAGACACTTTATGGGGGTGAAGGGAATGGGATCAAAATTGGGGGGGAGTACACTGGACTATGGTGATGGCACATGGGTGATTTGGTGATGGGAAGCCCACGGATATTACAACCGAGATGGAAAAAGGCACACACTGATGTAAAAATAAACTATTATATTATTTAACTAAATAAATGAAGGAATAAAGTTTTGGGTTCAAGAAAAAAAATTCCTGGTCTGCATCCTCTTCTGGATTTAGTGAGAGGAAAGAGACCCAAAGAGATTCAACCAGAAGATGGCAGGCACCCTGGCCGGAGTATGAGATGCCTATGATTTTATTAACCTGTCCCAGCAATCACGTCAGGCAGGTGTGCTTCTCCCCACCTAATAAAAGCAGAATGTGGGACTGCAAAAGCTTAGAACATTCCCAGAGTAAGCAAATGTCTGCCCCCAAGGCTACGCCCAGTTCACTCCTCCCACGGCCACGTCTTCCCTGTGTCCCGCTGATCCAACCCCACACGAGAGGCCCAATGGCTGTTTCTCTAGTCGAGCTGAAGCAGTGTGCGCATTTCTTACAACAAAAGCTACTCCGACAGTGACCTCCAGGCCTGGCTGGGATCCCATGAAGGAAGGAAAGTCAGTGACCCTCATGGGAAGAGGAACTTGCAGGTGAGGGCAACTTGACAGAAACCTGGCTTTCGGTCTCTGCGGGGGGATCTTGACCAGCAAGGCCGGAGATTCGGGGCCCCAGGTCCGGCGAACAAAAGAATCAGTCACGCACGTGCAGCAGAAAGAAGAACTCTTTATTGGGCTTTTTACCTCAGCTTATATACAAGAGGAGGGGGATGCAGAAGTCAGGAAGGGAGAAGGCCAATAGAAATGCAGTATGTTTTGGAGGCAGTTGATCTCGGCGAGAGGCGAAAATGGGCGAGAAAAGAAAGAGGAAAAGGAAAAGGTGGGGGCAGGGAGCTCTTCCCACATGCCTTTTGCAACCCGGATGTTTTTCTCTATCCGGACTCCATTTCACCTTTTTATGGAGCAAGATGCTGACAGACTACAAGATGCCGGCCTCGGTCCCCAACAAGTCTCAATCCTGTAACTTTGGAGCACGGGTTCTCAGGATTTCCTGCGGCGTCCCCACAGCTGGGTGGTGACAGCCTCAGCTTCCCAGCATGCACCACCAGAGCGCCCCATCTGTTTCAGCCCAGCCCATCACCCGCCTCATCTAGCTCTCAAGATTGTTCTGGGATAAGATTTTCTTTTTTTAAAGGAAGTTCTTTACAAACGCCTCTGTTTTAAACACATCCAAGAGCTTTGCCAGCAGTATCAAGACCACTGGGGCTGGAAGAGGGACAACCTCAAAGGCGGTGACCCAGCCAACCCACACAAGCAGGCTTTCCCTGAAGGAGCGTGGACATGGAGACTTGGAAAGCAGGCTGACGCATCAGCGGCCCCTCCAAAGTGTTTCCTAAGAGGTCTGCCGCCTGACCTCAGGTGCCCAGATGTAGCACTCGTCACCCCTCAGGTCGCTGGGGGTGAGGGTGTGCGCTGTAAAAATGGCCACCCATGCTGGGATCCCAGGATGAAGGTGCTGGCAGGGCCTGGTAGGAACAGCGGAGGGGACAGAGATATAGGGGACCTGTGTGTCATGGACGGTGCAGATGGGCCTTGGCTACGGTGGATGCTTTATCTCTTCCCCCGCCCACCAGCTTCCGAAACACCCAGGCTCCTTGTGACTCCTTGTGGGCCAGAGCCAGGAAATAGAAGCATGACAGTCTGATCCTGCCAGGGCCAAGATAATAATTCATATCTGTCTGTCTGTCTCACATGCACACACAGCTCAGTCTGTCTCCTGGCGAGGCAGTTCAGTGAAAATTGCCCATTGATAGAGAGAGACAGTGTCTGGGTGGGGTGGGCAGACTGAGCCAAGAAGAAGCCAAGGAGGAGCAAGGACCAGGGTCGAGAAGATCCCATCACTGTTCCCCCACCAGTCTGGCCCACAGTGCCTGTGTGCTATCTAAATGTTTCCTGTTTCTGTAGTTCATCACTTGAATCACATGTCCTCCTAAGCCACAAGATATGAAAATCAGGGCACATTAAAAATCAGAAGAGCAGGGCCCTCCCTGCTGGCGCAGCGGATTAGAGCACAGTACTAGGAAGCTAAAGCCACTTCTGCATGAGTTCGATTCCCACCTGCTCCTGAGGTGAACACATGGCGCTGCAGACCTCTCCTGACCCGCCTGCTGCTCTCCTCAGCAGTGTACTTCGTTGATCTGCCTGTTCTGCTCCCCACTCTGTCTCTGGTGAAGCCTCTCGCCACCCCTGAGCCTCTGGCCTGTACCCCAGTTCTGTATGCACAAATAAATAAATCTTAAAAAAAAAAAAAAAAAAAAAAACAGAAGAGTGAGGGGCCCACTTATAATAAGCTACCTCAAAACCAAAACCAAAGCTCCCCTGTCACCACCTTGCTTTCAGCCCTGGGAACATGCCCCCTTGGTCAGCATAGGTTCAGCTTGCAGCCCGGATGGATAAGGTCCTCCCGGCTCTGCTGCATCCTGCTGACTTTTACAGAATGTCAGGATTGCCTCCATTCCTATCTCACCTGATGCCCTCCCATTCCCCGAAGTCATTGCAACCCTAGGATATGCTCCCACAGCTCCAGACTGGGACCGGTGGCCATCAGGTCCACTGCTCCCTGGTTCCCCCCTGAGTCCTAACAGTCTCCCGGCACACTCAGCCCCTTGGTGGCAGGACCTTCCTTTCTCATCCTCCAAAGCCACGTGCAGTGACAGCACTTAGTAGGGCCTGGTTGCTATCCAGCTGGTGAACCTGTGGAGTGGACACAGAGCCATAGGCACTGAAGAGCCGGCCCAGATTGGCTGGGACTGTTGCCTGCAGCTCATTGGACAGAGAAACAGACCTGGAATCAGCAGAGGCCAAGGCCTTCGAGAGAAACTCTCCCTCAGCCACGAAGGACGAGGTCCTCTTTTGCAATCAGGCTCTACTGCTGATGCATTTGCCTGAACTGTGTGGAAAGCACCTGAACCATGATCAGATGCAGAAGGGTCGAGTTGGACACGTGTGGGCTCCCTTACTCACCCATCGCTCACGCTGCACAGTCCTGATGGCCTTGCTGGGGTGTGCAGATGACTGACCCCTCCATGAAGCTGGTACCATGACTGGTGCTTCCTGTCCATCCCCTTGACCGTTCTCACTTTGACAGCCATCTCCCTGCACTGGCCAGGTCTTCTGTGTGGGGCTTGGTGCCAGCAAGACTTGGAGAAAATCCATGTTTCCTTTAAGGTCTCCAGTGACCTCTCCTTGAGCACGTCCTGTGGCTCTTCAGTCCTCATTGCAAGCTAGAGCAGCCAGGCAAGGCCTGCGGTGAGAACACTGAATCTGGGACTGTTACTGTCTGCACGCCTGGAGCCTCCTAACCTAGCGCCTCCTAGCGTCTGGGAACTGCCTGCATTCTGGACAAGAGTCACTGATGAATCATTTTCTGATAAAACAGCTTCCATGCCCTATAAAAACTTACCCGTGTTCCCCAGAGAGCGTGACTTCTAAGTTATTGCCTGTTAGAAATTTTATCTGACTCTCCATTTCTTTTTTTTATTAAAAAGTTTATTTTTACATCATTTTGCACATTCTTTTTTCATCTCAATTGTAATCCCCACGGGCCTCCCATCTGGTACCAAATCACCCCCGTGCCACCACCATAGTCCCGTGCACTTTGACTCTCCATTTCTTAACTACACCGAACTTTTCACTTAACCCTGGGGAATTTGACATTGGCCCCCTCCTTTCTTAAAATGTTCTCCTCTCCTGAACGCACAACACCTCCCTCAGGAACCTCAATTTTCACCCCCTCTAAAATGGAGATGAGAGACAGAAGGAGAGCCAGAGAGCCCAAGGTGAAGCTCTCGGCCTTTCTTACCTGATCATAGAGTAACCACATCTTTCCTGCCACATTCTACTTAACAGAAGTTGCTAAAACCAACCACAGCCAGAAAGAAGTCATTAGGCAGGAACCAGAAAGTAGAGATCTCTAGGGGCCACTTTTAGGGATTCATTTAGAAGCCAAGATGCCTGAAGCCAGTGATCCCCAGTTTCAGTCCGCAAGTTCCATGAACCTCTGGATACCCGAGACCTGTGAATTCCAATGCAACTGAGCCATGAGAGTGTGTGGTGCAGCTGCAGATGCAGCAGACATGTGCAGGCCTGGGGTGCGCATGCGCGCGCGGGCACACACACACACACACACACACACACACACACACACACACGCTGCAGAAGTACTTCCTCCCTCCAGCTAGTATGAAAACGGATCACTGCCATGGGGCCAAGAAGACGCAGCGAAGCCTGGACTTTGTGGCCTTTCCAGCCACGGAAGAGCCAGCCACACTTCTTCTCTTCCTGCCTGTGGACCCCTCTCCTCTTCCTGTTCATGGGTAAGCACGCTCTGCCCCCTCCACTTGCTACCGCGTTCGCAGCTGGTAACTCCTCCCGTACGGTGAGTATGGTGCAGCTTCCTCCTTATCCTGAGTTGCGTGTGTGTATGTGTGCGCACGCGCACTGGTGGTCATACAGTATGAGAAGGTGCCATGCTAGCCCCGTCTCAAATAGTGGGGCTCAAACTATTCCTCTTACTCACATTGTCCTGCTAAGAAATGTGGGGTGATGACTTTGCTCCCTGTATAATGTGCTTCCAGAGAGATACAGGGTCACCTCCAGTGACCATTTCTTTGGCTAATTCCCAGTGAAGTGCAACAGCCAGAGCATCCTTCTACTCCTGCCTCATTTATCGCTAACCCTGGGTGGTGGTGGCTTCCCTAGGGCTCTGGTTGAGGAAGAGGGTGTGATCTGGTGCCCTGGACTACATGTCCTTCATCTCACCATCTTTTTCTCCAAACTCCTCCCCATTCCAAGACTCAAGTCCTGCCAGTTCCTAAGAACTGTCTCTCAACAGCATGGCCTCCCCCTGTCCAGCACACAGAGCTGGCCCTGACCCGGGAAGGCTCAGCCCCAATTTTCCAGCAACTTCTTTCCCCCAAGACCTCTGGGTAGAAGGAACAGGAAACACAAGGGTCCTGAGAGGGGGTAGGCCAGAGTGGGGTGCAGGGGGTGATTTCTAGAAAAGCTTCTGGCTATCAAGAAGGACACGGGAGAACCTGAATCTCAGAGACCTATCTAGTCACTTCTTCGCTTTCAATTTCATCTCTGGTCACTAAAGGAAGTGGCAGGGTTATTTCTATTGACATCCAACTTTGGGGGTGTCTTGGCTTTCTTGGATGAATCTGAATTAACTTCATCCGATGTCAACTTAGCCCCAGATGACATAGTGAGTTTCAAGCAGTTCAAAGTAAAGGTATGTCCTTATCTTGCTCCACTGAGCAAGGTGACCTCAGCCTCACATAGGGGACAGTGGGTAGAAAGTCCCCCTGCTATGCAGGGGGACTTGGACTAAGTCCTTTTTCTTTCACTTACTAGCTGTGTGAGCCTCTTTCCTTAAGTGTAGAATGCAACTAGCAAGATTGTTTTAGATTCAAGATGAAGTGTTCTTTTTTTAAGATGTATTTATTTAATACGTACAGAACAGGGGTACAGGCCAGAGGTGCAGGAGCAGTGAGAGGATTCACCAGAGAATGAATGGGTAGAACAGGCAGACTGACAAAGTACACTGTGGAGGGAGCAGCGGGCGAGACAGGAGAGTTCTGCTGTGCCATGTGGGTCAGGAGTTCATGTTGAAGCAGCTGCCGTTACTTCAGTAGTGCCATGCTTTAACCTGTTGTGCCACCAGGAAAGACCCAAGATAAAGCCTTTAAATGTTTACAAACAGGTGATGGGAGCAGTCATTGTTAGTCTAATCGTTACCACAGTTTTTCAGCTTCCCTTGTTTATTTGTCAAAGGGCCTGTTTCAGTGTGGGATGGAAGATACCCGGTCTCCTGTCTACTCTGGGAGCTGGGGAGCACCACCCACTGCAACAGGGAGTTCTCCCCATAGACACCACAGCCTGCTCACTCACTGTGGACTTCCAGTGAGTCTGGAACCTGGGATGTGGTGAGGGAAATCAGTCATGGAGACTGCTATGTCCAGCATGGAGTGACTCTTTCTTGTTTCAGTGTTCATTATATACCATTTCTAGTGCATTAAGTGTAACTGCAAAGCGCATCATAGACTCTCACCTCCGTGATTATTCTGTATTACAATGCTCTGCTACCCTGACGCAGACTGCTAGCCGCCAGGTGGCCTAAGTGTATGTGTCCGTCAATCCCTACTGTCCAGAGCAAAGTGATTCTTGTTAAGCAACTAACTGTTAATCATCTACTTCTGGGAGCAGAGGGGCATGACCCTACGCGGGTCACTTTCCGGGCTCTCTTAACCAGGCCTGGTCACCCAGAGGTTTTCCTCCATGGCACGTGTGTTTTCACTCTGCCTTGGGAGCTCAGGTTTGAGGCCCAGTTGTTTGCTGTACGGGGTCTCTGCCAACAGCCCACGACACCCTAACAGTATCAATCACTTTATTTAATTTGCCAACAGCCCACTGGTGTGAGGAGATGTAGGGGCGGTGAGAGGATTCACCAGAGACAGAGCTGGGAGCAGAACAGGCAGATTGATGGAGTACACTGCTGAGGGGAGCAGTGGGCAGGTCAGGAGAGGCCTGCACACCATGTGGGTCACCTCCGGGACCGGGGATCCAAACTGTACGTAAGCAGCTGTGGCTAGCTTGCAGTGCTGTGCCCTAGCTCACTGCGCCACCAGGGAGGGCCCCGATCCATTTTATTTTTAAAAAATGCTCCTTTTTGCTATCTCTGATGATTCTCAACAATCTGTTTGCATTTCATCTTTACCATATTCCTTGAGGAAGAGGGCACAAATGTGAATAATTTCCATCATACTGATGAGTAAACTGTAATAGGGAAGAGGAAATTTCACCCTTCCTCTTTTGTATCTTCTCAAGCTGCTCAAACAAATAAATACCATCAGACAAATTAGTAGGAGAAAAGAGAAAGTGTAATTATATACCCATTTGGGGAACCCACATATGAAAATGGGGATAGATATCTTGTGCTAAGGAATAACATCAGGACTGGAGTTTCCAGGAATAGAGAACTCACATGATGTGAGGCAGTCACATGAGAAAGGGGTAATCATATGATCAGATGTAATTAGGTGGCTGTCTGCCAGGGGGAGGTTTCCTTGTCAAAATGTGTGATTCTGGTTAAAAAATAAGCAACCTAATTTACAGTAGTAGCAAATTTTCATTCTTCTACATAGGTAAGGAACGGGTAAAAGTTTCTCATGAGTCTTCATGGTCTCGAATGAGCTCAGCTCAAAATAATCCACATGACAGAGTGACACAGCTTGAGAAGGTCTGTTCCGAGCGACTCAGTGAGAGCTCGTCTTCAAAATGGATCCTTAAATTCAAAATTCCACACAAACTTACTAATTTCCCTCTAACAGAAACCTACAAGGTCTGGTCTATCTGACATTGCCATTTGTGGGAGCGTGTTTGGTAAGTGGATGAACGAGTGAATGAATGACTTTGTTAAATAACAGACCTAAGTTCAGGAGGGCAGGAATCTCATTTCATTTCTCAGCTTCTGACATTCTCAAAAGACTTCTATTGAATGAACAAATGAATGAATGAATGAATGAATGAAGGCTGCCATGAGGAGTACGACTGCTTTTCCATCTCTCTTCTGTATCTGCAGGACCTGGAGCCTCTGGAGAGAACGCAGAGAGAATGGTAGGAGTTACGGGGGCTTCGGCAAACTTCTCCCTCAACCTCTCAGCATACTCAGAGATTGAGCTTGTCACTTGGAGTGGACCCTATGGTAGCTTTATTCTCATACCAGCAGAAGGAATCCCTCAGTTCACAAACAAAAGCTATAAGAGACGACTAAATATCACCGTCACTAGCTATTCCTTTTCTCTCTACAATCTGACCCTGAAAGATTCTGGACACTACGAAGCCAAGATAAACCACATGGATTCTGAGGACACTGCTAATGCGGTATTTACCCTGACTGTCTATGGTGAGTTCTGCTGTGAATTTTGATCTTATAGTCTGAAAAGGGGCTTTTTTTTTCTTTCCAGGAATTTTTCTCTCCAAGACAAATAAGATTAGCACTTTGGTAATTTTTACCCAACCCTATAAATATTGAAGTTAAGTGGGAGGCATAACTCAACACATTTGAGTCATTTGCATTCTTTTTAAGAACTCTCTGTAGATGTCCTTGATCCATCAGAATTATTCATTTGGGAAAACCACAGATGGATGACTTAAACTACAGATATTGGGCCTCCCTGGCGGCCTAGGGATGTTTCAGCTCTGTCACCATTACCACCTGAGTTCGATCCCCGGCCAGAGATGTGACCCACATGGCCCGGCAGACCTCTCCTGTCTTGCCTGCTCCCCTTATCAGTATATTTCAGTAAAGCCACCCGTTCTTCAGTAAATCCACCTCTTCAGTAAATCCCCACTCTTGACTCTGTTGAATCCTCTTATCCCCTGCACCTCCTACTTATGCCTCAGTTCTTCTATGCAGGAAAAAAAAAAACCCAGAAATTTATTTTCTCACAATTCTAGAGGGTAGGAGTCCAAAATCAAAATGTCATCAGGTCTGATTCCTTGAGAGGCCTCTCTCTTTGACTTGCAGATACCTCCTCAATATGTCCCCATATGGTGGCCCCTCTATGCTGTGTCCCTTTCCTGTAAGGACATAGGACACCACTCTTGGTGGATAAGAACCACCTTAATAATCCCATTTTAGCTTAATTACTTCCATGTCCATGGTTTTGTCTCTAAATGAAAAGCATTCTGAAGTTTGGGGGATCAGGCTTAACCCATGAACTCAGAGGAAAACACTGTACAGCCCTCAATTCCATCTCCCATGTTAGTCTGACATTTTTTGTTGATTTGTAGGCACCTGCATACACTAAGGAAATGGAATTATAGACGCCTAACAGAAATAGCTAAATATGAAATCACAAACAGGGCAGTGTGTGTGATATCATGTGTGTGCCTAATTGCTGGACAGATCAACAAGAAACTCATAATAGCTCTCGCCTCCAGAAATGGTGCTTCATAGGGAGAAGAACTCAGTGTATGGGAGCAAGAAACCTTGTGTTGTTGTTTCATTGTGTAGACTTTTGTATTTTCAATTCCAATCTTACCTATTCAAACACACACACACACTGAGCAGAGGAACTAGAACACAAAGGAACAAGAGCATCAGAATGCTCTAATAAGTTCAGAATGAAAATCCATGATAACCCAAAATTGAGAGGCGGAGCTCCCTCTCCCAGGTGCTGATTCAGTCATCCACTCTATACCAGTCAGGAGCGCCAGGCAGATGATAGCTGTTCAGACACAAGCATCAACACTACCCTGTAGAGTTTACCTGTGGTGGGAAGAGAGAGGAAATCAGGCCATGATTATGTTGAGCCATGGGGATAACTCCTGCAGGGGCTGGCATGGACACCCAGAGAAAAGGCACCTCATTTGCAGTGGGAAACAGCGTTAAGGCCCCCTGGAACAGGGGACGCTGACTTCTCCCTTCTGCTCCCAGCTCTCTGCATTCACTACCTTCTTTTGGCCTCTTCCTGTTGGGACAGGCTCTGAGAAGTCTCTCCGTTGCTTTTTTCTCTACAGATCCGCTGCGGGAGCCTCAAGTCATCCTGAAGTCTGTGACTGTGTCTGAGAACGCCTCATGTACCATCACCTTGATCTGCTCTGTGCAGGGAGAAGGGAAAGACGTTCGGTACAGCTGGGCCCCCGTGGGCCTCCGTGTTTCTGAATCCTCTGGGAACTCCACTCTCACCATCTCCTGGATGCCCTGTGATCAAGACATGCCCTATACCTGCAAAGCCCAGAACCCAGTCAGCCAGACAAACTCCCACCCAGTCTTCGCCCGACAGTTCTGTACAGGTAGCGAACTCTACTTTGGCCCGTCAGGGGATTACAGACACGGTTGTATACCCAAAGTTCTGGCAGGACCAAGATGGTGTGGGATGAGGACAGAGCCTTCGTTCTTTACCCTCAGGAGCCTGAGGAAAACTATCAGGAGATGGGAACTTTCAGGGTTCTGTGAAACTAGGTAGAACAGAGGAGGAGAGAGGATATGGGTGAAGAAATCCAGATTGTTGTTGGCTTGAGTAGGGGATGCCCCCGTCATTCTTCTCAAAAGATCAGAGTGCGGATGAGACTTGGGTATGCCACAGGCAGGTCTAGACACATATCTCTTCATGACCTGTGGTCAAGGGAGTCCAGCAGGGCTGCCTCCTGGGAGGGGAGAAAGGTCTGGGCAGGAGGCTCTACGGGGCTCCAGTCCCCTTCAGGCAGGCTGAGGGTTCAGGGAGTGGGCCAGTGACTGACACTACAATGTCTTACCTCTGAGTGCAGATGCAGTTGCCTCCAGAGAAGGGCCAGTGGTGGAGACAGTGGAGAAACTCTTGGGGGCGTCTTTCAGGCTACCCCTGGCTCTCCCAGACACTCAGGATGTAGAAAGAGTTCTCTGGATCTTTAACACGTCTATCATCAACAGCACAAGGGAAGGAATAACCACAGTCACTCAGTCCAAGGTTCCTGACAAGAATGAGGTGTGGGTCTCCAACCAGGACCACTCCCTGAACATTGGGCATCTGAGGATGGAGAACACTGGCACCTATCATGCCTATGTGTGCTCCAGGGACTCCAGAGTCATCAGCATGAAGCACGTCACCCTGCTCATCTACCGTGAGTTCCAAACAGGGCACCCAGTACCAGGCTCTCCCTGAGAGGTGCCCCTCTGATTTCTCCCCCACCTGCTTCTTGCTTGAGGCCTCTCCTTCTACCAAAATGCCTCCGACCACTGGCACTGCCATCCTGTTCACACCAACCAATTTTCAGGGAGAAAAATGACAACCAACATCCAGGCAAAACCTGCCTGCTAGTGTCCTCTCTCTGTGGGTTTCCAGACAGGCCTCAGTGACCCGCTTTCAGCTCCCCTCCTGTCTTTCATTTCACCGGCATTATCATTTAGAGTAAGAGAAGAACTGGCTAGGGTGGACTCAAAGGAGAAAGAGGAAAAAGACTTCATGTCTAAAGACCCTGTGGCCTTCCAAGAGGGAGGGCTGCTCAGCTCCCCTGACAGAGCCACGGTATTGCTCCCCAGTCCGCAGAGGCTTGTCTTGACAGTTTGCATGGTTTACATTAGCCAATTTTTTCATCTACACCATTGAGAAACAGCAAACCAACTTCCCTCTGAGCTGGGGGAAACCTACAAAAATTTTCACTGCTCATTTTCCTGTCAAAATATGCAGTTGCTCAGCTAGCCCACATCTCTTGCATACTGTGATGCAAATACAAAGCTGCTAGTGTTTCTCCAGTGCTGACCCTGCCTCAGCTCTGTGTTCATCTCTCTATCCTCCGTATGTCAGCTCAGTAACAAAGTGGGCAGTGGGTCTCAAAGTGTGAGACTTGTTGTGTCCTCCAAGTATGTGCAAGAGTATGCTTATTGGTGTTACTGGTTTGCTGGTTCTTTGCAAATGCTCTACAGAATAGCATGGTATCTTTCCTTTTGTCGCTTTTCATTAACCCCTGTATTTCACATCTTTGGGCCTCCTCAAAGGCCCAAAGAGGCAGTGTGGTGTGTCTGAGAATTTCCCCTACTGTGGATAGGCAAGGGCATTCAAAATGTCTGTGGCTCCCAGAAGTGCTTACCCAGCCCTGGTGCAATGTCCACACACAGGTGCTTAAATCCATGGAGAGTGATGAAGGTGTGGTGACTGCCCATGGACAGGACTCTGAACCCCTCTGCCCTTCTCCTCATTCAGGGAAGCTGAAGACGCCAAGAATCACCAGGGGCCAGTTTATCACAGACAATGGCTTCTGCAAGGTCAAGCTGGAGTGCTCCTTGGAGGACAGTGAACCCGATGTGACCTACTGCTGGACCTCCTCTGTGCAGGAAGGAATTGTCCACAAGGGATCACAGTTCCAGCCTTCCTGGAAGCTTGGGGAAGATCACCCCACCTTCAGCTGCACAGCCAGCAACCCTGTCAGCAACAGCTCCTGGATGTTTGTTTCTGAAGACAACTGTCCAGGTCACTGTCTATCTCCACTCTCAGTCAGACCTTGGGGTCACAGGCCCTTGGATCCAGGGGTCTGCATGCTGAATGGCTCTTTATGGACTGAGGGGAGGAATGTGAGGGGTGTCCTTTAAGGCAGCACCTTCCAATCGAACACAGTGGATATACTTCACTTAGCCTGTCTTAGTCCCAGGAGCAAAAGCAAAAAAAAAAAAAAGAGTAAAATTAATTTCAATAATATATTTTATTTAACCCAAAATATCATCATTTTGACATGCATCCGATATAAAAAAAGTTATTGATAAAATAGTGTATATTTTATTTGTACTCTTTTTAAAATGCAGTGTGTATTTCACAATGAAAATGGATGCAAAATGTTCATGGAAGTGTTTGATCTGTATTCAGATTTTATAAAATTTACAAATGAAAACAATAGATTTACATATTTAAGTTATTCCGAATGTATTTATAAATCTTTCAATGAGAATTTGAGTAGCTATTTTCAATTTTTTTAATAAATAAAATAATTTCATTCTAATTTCAAGGGCTCATACCATGAGTCTTGGCTACCACATTGGGCGGTGCTGCATTAGAGGTTTGGGGAGCAGAGTGGATGGGAAGATCAAATAAGAAGTGGTGCAGTCACGGGACCCGAGCTGTGTGTGGATGGTGGGTGGAAAGGAGGGTCGGGGCGCTTACTAAATGCCAGGTCAAGGCAATCATAACATCATCAATCTTCACAATCATTCTGTACAGCAGATTTATAATAGGAGGATAAGTCTCTTCACAAAGGAGAAGAGACTTGCCCAAGGTTACACACAAAAGCAGACTGGAACCCTGTGTTCTGCTCTTCTGTGGAAGGAAGTTGATAAAAAGGGAGGTTTACCCAAGGGCGTGGCAATGCTCGGTCAGGCTGTGACTGGCAGATGGCTTTAGAGCTCTTTTATAGAAGTCTGCACTCTCCCTCTCTGGAGCCCAGCAGTGTGCCAGGTGCAGAGAGGAGTGAGGGTGATGGATACGGCATCGCAGGACCAGGCAGCCTGCAATAAAGCCCCAGCTCATGCACCTCAAACTGTGTCGCTGAGCCAGCCATGTTCCTCTCTCTACCAGGGATGGTGTCTAGCTTATGACCTGCTGTCACTTCTTGCCTAGAACAGGCCTGCTCCATAAGTAGCTGCAGAATAAGCGAATGAAAGGAAGTATTTTCTACAGTAGCCTGGGAGGCAGGTAGGAAGGTCATTATGACTTTTATTGTTTTTAAGATTTATTTATTTGTGCATACAGAACTAGGGTACAGGCCAGAGGTACAGGGGCAGTGAGAGGCTTCACCAGAGACAAAGAGAGGAGCAGAACAGGAAGATCAATGAAGTACACTGCTGAGGGGAGCAACGGGCAGGACAGGAGAGGTCTGCTGCACCATATGGGTCTCCCCACTGGCCGGGCTCGAACTCCTGATGACGCAGCTGCAGCTAGCTTTGCAGCACTATGCTTCAACCCACTGCGCCACCAGAGAGGGCCCAGTCTTTATGTTTTGTCCATTATTTGCACCATTATCATTATGTGTAATGATAACCATCACTTCCTCTTCACAGGGCCTGACTGGATACTTCCGATTGTATTCTCCTTGCTGGCTTTGTTCCTTCTCTGCACGATGGCAGTGGCTGGATGGTGCATTTACAAAAAAAAAAAAATGTGGGTTTCTGAGATCAGTTTCACCTCTCAGCACTGGACTACTTCCCTGGGGGCTTTGGTGTTTCTCTGTCCTCTGTCATCCCCTCCCGCCCTTCCTTTCCCAAAATCTCATCTCGTCTCAGGTGATGTGGGGAGGGTGTGGTTTGTGACTCTGTTGCAGAGAGTTGAAATCCAGCTCAAACTTGCTTAGGTAAAGCAGACTAAGGGTACACAGGAAGTGATGTATTATTTGGGGACTCATATAACAAATCTTTGAGGAAGGCAGGGTAGGATAATGTATTAGAGACAAATGTGGCCAACGTATTCATTTCTTCTTTTTCCCTTTTTTCATTTTATAAATATATTTTTTACATTATTCTTCATTTTGTACATTTTTTCATCTCAGTTGTAATCCCCATGGACTTCCCACCACCACTTCACTCATGTGCCATCACCATAGTCCTGTGTGCTCTTCCCAGATTTGATCTTGTTCCCCTTTCCTCCCCTGTAGAATGTCTCTGGTTTATAGTTGTTAGTTGATGTTCCTTCTTTATTACAATTATATATATATATATATATATATATATATATCTTATTTTTTTCCTGATCCCATTTACTCCTGCTATGAGTGAAGCCATATGGTATTTATGGTATTTTTCTTTTTCTTTCTGGATTATTTCATTAAGCATGATCTTTTCCAGTTCCATCCATGTTGTCACAAATGGCATTGATTTATCTTTTTGTTTGCTGAGTAATATTCCATTGTGTATGTATACCACATCTTCTTGATCCAGTCATCTATTTTTGGGCATTTTGGTTGATTTCACATCTTCCTTATTGTAAATAGGGCAGGAATAAACATAGAAGTGCATGTATCATTTTGAATTATTTTTTTGTGTGTCTTTTGGGTAGGTACCTAGGAGAGGAATAGCTAGATCATATGGAAGCTCCATTTTGAGAAGTTTGAGAAACCTCCACACAGTTTGCATTCTCAGTAGCAGTGTAGGAGAGTTCCTTTTTCTCCACACCCAAACCAACATTTATTGTTACTTGTGTTTTTTATAATGTGCCATTCTCACTGGTATGAGATAGCATCTCAATGTGGTTTTAATTTGTATTTCCCTTATTACAAGTGATGCTGAATTTTTTTAAAGACTTACTTATTTATGCATATAGAACAGGGGTACAGGCCAGAGGTGCAGAGGCAGTGAGAGGATTCACCAGAGACAGAGTGGGGAGCAGAACAGGCCGACTGAAGGAGTACACTGCTGAGGAGAGCAGCGGGCGGGTCAGGAGAGGTCTGCCACACCATGTGGTCACCTCCGGGGTGGGGATCAAACTCATGCGGAAGTGGCTTTAGCTTCTCAGTGCTGTGCTTTAGCCCGCTGTGCCACCAGGGAGGGTCTGCATTTCCTTTTTGGAGACATGTCTTTTTAGCTCTTCTGCCCATTTTTTGATAGGGCTGTTCACTTTATATTTGTGAGTCTTGTCAGCTTTTTGTATATCTTTGTGACAGGAAGCTCATCCCTCATCCCTGCTTTTTCCCTTGAGCCACCAGGTGAGGAGCAGGTACACAGGTGTGGACTGTCACAGCACAGAGGCTGGTAGTGCCAAGGTCACACTTGCCGGTAGCATCAACACCAGGAACAAATGACAAAACATTTCCCTCAATTCCAATTTAAACAATCTAAGAAATGGCTCTGGTTGGTACCACTTTGGGTCATGTGACCATTGCTTGGACCAGTCTTTGTGGCCAAGTGAGTGAGCTATTTTGATGGGCAGCTTCCTCAGAATCTCAGTATTGCAATGGGAATAGACCCCAGCAAGAACAGCTGGGTTAGGACACATGGAAGCTCAGGGCATCAGCAAGCCACTCCAGAGCTCCCTCCTCAGCTGAAGATGCCCTGGACTCTGGGCACCTCCATAACCATATGCCACATGGAGTTCACCTCTTCCCTAATGGCTGTCTCCTTCCATATTCCTGGAAATCTGCCCTTCTCCTTTGACTCGCACAGAGCTGACCTCTCTCCTCCTGGGTCTACTCACAACCTTCTTTAATTTGGTTCTCAGGTTGGGACTTAAAATCCACCCCCAGGCAAGCGGAGACTTCAGCTGTCTTTTCAGGTAATGTCACCACTGATGCAGGCTCTGGGTCCTTCAGCCCTATGGAAGCTGCCACTCAATGTGTGCTCAGCCAACCAGCAAGCTGGCATCACCAGGAGCTTTTTGGAAATGCACATCTGGAATGGTTCCCCAGAATTTTTAATCCAGACATGTGTTTTAGCGAGATCCACAGGTGAATCATACTCCCATTAGAGTTTGAGGATTGATAGGCTAAATGGAGGCAGCTTGGGAAACAAAAGCCACAATCAGGATGGATCACAGAAAGGTCACCTGAGCCAGGAGGGTGGGTCATCTGAGCTCTGGGGTCTCTAGGCGTCCTGAGACATTGACTGTCATGACCTCTGTGGCCATGCAGATAATAAAGCTATTTTGTCTAAATAAATTAATGGCAAAAGCCAGACGAAATAAGTTTGTGGCAGGAGACAAATTCATCTCAAATCGAAAGCCTTCAACCTGTCCAGACGCCTACTACCCAAGAGCACACCTGGGGCAAGAGCTTTCAAATCTTTGAAAAAACTGAGGATTGCTTTCCTTAAATAAATGATATAGCTCACAATCTGCGAAAGTGGAACAGTCTTGAGGGCTGGCTGGAGCAGGAGGCCCAGGGCCTTCCCTTGCCTTCCTCTCCCTCGCCTCTGGGTGCCAAACCACCACCTTGAACTCTGGAACTCTGTGTCCTAAGGAATCCCCAAACTCTGCCCTCTCAGACAAATGCATCCCGCAAGGAGAAGGGTGAGGGGGTGGGTCTGGAGTCAACCCTGCATGAGATGTTCCAGACTCACCACTGACCACTTACTCTCCACACTGCCCCAAGTACACAATAACAGGGACACGCCCCTAAAGGCCTCCAACCATCAGCAAAAGAACCCCACGAGCAGCAGTTCTGACAGCGGTGGCACCAGTGAAGATGAGGAGAGGACAAAGATACCACCTCCTGTCTGGGGCAGAGGTGAGGTGTGTGTGCCGCCCGCTTCAGAGAACTCTGCAAGGGGCCTGGCCCCTGAGGTGGAAGCACAATATAACCTCATCACTCCATCTGGCACAGACCTTGCCCCTGTGGTCAATGGGGACACAGTGTATGCTCATCTGTTCCACAACTCCAAGGTGAGATTTTTTGATCCACATCCTCTCACTGCTTACACCTGTAGTGTCCTGGTGACTAGTCCCTCCAAACGGGGGACAGGCGCTGGGGGCAGTGGGGGCGGAAGCAGTGCTGAAGGGCAGAGAATCACAGCTGCATCCATGTTTACCAAACCTGGGGTCTCTTGGAGTGAAGGAGCTCCTCCTTCAGCACCCACGCTTGGACCATTGGTGAGGGTTGTTGGGGGAACCAGATACACTCCCCAAAGCACCAAGGCAGCTCCTACATTCTGTGTGAGTCTGAAGCCTGGTGGGATGTTCCCCAGGGAAACTCTGGAAAGTTATGGCTTGATGGTTAAGGAAAGTCTGATCTCCATCTGTTACAGGGAATGGACCCAATTCTTCAGAAGAAAGAAGTATCAGTCACAATCTACTGCTCTGTACAGAGGTCTCAAATGGTGAGAACTGTTTTCTCTGCATCCCAAGACCCATAAAGCCAAGAACAATTGCCCAGACCATTTTTTTTAAAGATTTATTTATTCATTCATACAGAACTGGGGTACAGGCCAGAGATGCAGAGGGTGAGAGGATTCACCAGAGACAGAGTGGGGAGCAGAACAGGCAGATCGACAAAATACACTGCTGAGGGGAGCAGCAGGTGGGCCAGGAGAGGTCTGCCGTGCCATATGGTCACCTCCGGGGCAAGCGGGGATCGAACTCATGCAGAAGTAGCTTAAGCTTCTTAATGCAGTGCTTTAACCTGCTGCACCACCAGGGAAGGTTCTGCCCAGACCATTTTAAATGAAAACCAAACTCGTAGGGCTTAGTAACTGAGTTCTACCCACTCTGCACCCTGTATATTCCATATAGATGTGTATGTATGGAGGAAATAGATATAGGGTAATTGTGTGTGTGTGTGTGTGCGTATATATCACCTAATGAGGAGGATTAGGTCCTAATCCACCAAAATAGCAACTTCCCAGAAAAATCAGTGGACTGTTTCACTGACAAGATATTAGGAAAATGTTTTATTAACTGCAATATAATAGTTTTTTTACAGTGCTAAAAAAAATCCCTTAAAAGTAGGCTTTATCACTAGATAATGATAATATCAGTAACTTTTATATAAAGTTTTACAGTCTACAAAACATTCATAAATATCATCATCTGATCCTTATATTGTTAACAGGCAGAATGTGGGACATCCCAGGACCCCCAAAACTGCCTGTTCTGAATGGGTTCTGCCATCAAGCACATAAGGACAAAAATTACTCTTAGTATGTAATACTTTCAATGGAAAAGAACTTCAATGCAGTTAGTGTGTGAGAGAAGAGAAAAAGAAAGAATACAATTTCCAAATTAAACACCCAACATTACCCATCCCCTTGTGGGTAAATACCCAGCCAAACAAGGTTGGCCCAAAGCAGAGCTCCTGGAGCCCCAAAGTTTGCCCCAAGTATAAGGCACCTCCTCATGGGGACCATCAGGGCAGAAGTCCAGGTGAGTCTGGAAGGAAAAGAATAAAATCAAAATCAAGGTAAAGGCGGCCATTTTCAGCCTTGCCACAGACTTCTCACCCAAGGCTCTGTCTTTCAACTGTCTCCTATCATGTCCCCCACATCCAAGCCTGAGAAGCAAGGGCAGCTTCTTTGTCACATGTCTCTGCTCCATGTGCCTCCCTCCCTGCCCAGCTCCACCCTCGCTCAGGGTGAGACAAGGAATCTCCCCTTCCCCTGGGGATTACCTGTTAGAATTCCAGCTCTAGAAGTATGTTGCAGCCACATGTTTCTAGAGCCAAAGAAGCTGACACTCTTAGAAGTTCATTTTGCCTAATGTCATACAGAGAGTAGTTGGAGTTTGGTATTAAGAATGAGGAGTTTAAACATAATCATGAATGATCTTAAACAATTCACCTTGATCTGAATTTGACCATCTACTCCCCTTTCACTTTCCTGAAACCACTGCATGCATTCATAATTTGATTTCAAGTCTCACAGGGTTCCTTCCCTGTTGGGTGCTCCAAAAGATTTTTTTTTTAACTCTTGAAGCTTTTTAATTACACTTCTCCTCTGTGACTGATGAATCAATCAATAGATACTTATTGAACACGTTTTGTTTGTCCAGAACTGAGTTGAGTGCCAGGAGGATTCTGGTTTGTTTAAGTGACTGACCTTGACCTTGAAGATTTGCTCTCTTGTTTGTCTTTTGGTGGAAGAAGGGTGGAGCTGATTCAATCACCTAGAGAGAAAAAGTTCTACTGACTACTGTCAGTAGAACTGTCCTCACGGGTTTTTGGACATTGGAAGTGGGAGATTTTACTGCCAGGAAGGTTTCCTGAAGTAGACAGGAAGGTTTCATGAAGAAGTAATTTGGATTGGATCTTAAAAGATGAATATAGGGCCCTCCCAGGTGGCACAACAGGTTAAAGTGCAGCACTATGAAGTTATCATAACCACTAAGGCACAAGTTCAATTCCCAGCCAGGGAGGTGATCCACATGGTGCAGCAGACCTCTCCTGACACACCCACAGCTCCCCTCAGCACTGTATTTCAGTCAATCTGACTATTCTGCACTTCACTGTGTCTCTGGTGAGTCCATTCAATCCCCCACCACCACCTCACCTCTGATCTGTACCCCAGGTCTTGTATGCAGACCTTAAAGATTTAATAAATCTTTAAAAAAAAAAAAAAAGATGGATAGAATTTGTTGCATGAACACTTGTCTCAGATGGATTTTCAGTTCCACTTCATCTGCTTCTGATCCTGATTTCTAGAGCACAGTGGAAAGTTTGGCCATTTTAGGGCTTCACCCTTAGCCTTGAGGCCTCCTCTTCCCTTTTTACTGTCCTCCCAAAGCTGCTTTCCCCTTGGGCTGGTCCATGATGTTTGGGTCAATATTGGTCAATCTGAAGTCATGGATGTCACCCCTGTTCGGTATCTCTCAGGTTAGGAGACCCCGGCAGTCTGGGCCGCCTTTCATGGCTCCATCCGCACCCAGGGACTTGCAAACCCTAGAGCTCCCCCACCCACAATGTAAGTGGGAATCCATGCATCTCCTCTGCCACACTCATGGAAGAATTTACCCCGTCCTCAGAATTTTCAGGACCAGAAATTCTGGTTCTGGGTCTCCTTCAGCCATTATTGCCCCCTTGATCAGAAATTCTCAAACCTACCTTAGTCATTGTTTCTGACACATCACTACAGGGCATCTGAAAGGTTTATGCTGCTCCCCGAGCATTGCAAATACCTCATAAGGGCTTGTCTGCTCCCTAGGACCTTCTCTGAACACCTTGGACACAAGATGTTCGGAACCCTTTGAACACGGGTTTAACAGGCTAGACTGCAGCTCTGAAACATACTCTCCGTCCTAAATTACCCTATAGAAATGTTTATCTTGTTGTTCTAGCTAGGACAGAGATGGAATCATGAGATAGTAGCTTCTGGACATAGATCAACACCCTTTATGGCCATTTTTTTAATCCCCAACCCAAGGCCCGAACTAGTAGCAGAGCCTCCATCACTGCCTGGCTCTGGTCTGCCGCGTGCACCGTCCCTCAGCTGGCCATGGGCCCCGTGCAAGCCTGGCCTCACCTTCCTCTCAGCCGCACAGAGGAACCAGAGCCTTCTAGGCTTACTAACTAGATCCCCGTGTGTCTCTTGGCTCACAGGTGGTGCCACCATCGCAGGACGACCCCGAGTCCTCTGAAAACAGCACCTATGAAAATTTCACTTGAATAGAAAAACAGCGCAGCCTGCCTCCCAGCCGCCTCCCTCCCTGCCGTCGTTGGCCTGAGGTCCTGGCAGACAGCAAGACTGCAGTATTTTCCTCCATGTCTCAGGGCCTCCTGGACTTGATTGTCTCCTTCTCAGCCACCGCTGTTTTCCCAGCTTTCTCTCAGCAAAGCTGCAGCCCTCCATATCTCTGTAAGCTCGAGCCAACACTGTTGAATGCACCTGGACAAAGCTGCCTTCGTGTCATCTTCCAAACAGAGGTCTCACTAGAATCATGTCCACTGCAGCAATTTTTAGTGTCAGAAGTAATCCAGATCTGCATTTAACGAGAATCCAGTGAAATACATGAGCTCAGAGCCCTTGCAAGGGCGAAGCCAGGCGCCTTTGTGAAGGATACATGGGACTGATGGAGATGGACTCAGAGGCACATGGTAAGGTGAAGTAAACTGTCCACTTCCAGCTGGATTGTTAAGCAATATATCTGCTAAGAAGAGCTAAAAAGACACTTCTCCAAAGAGGAAATGCAGATGGCCAACAAGCATATGAAAAAATGTTCAACATCACTCGTAATAAGGGAGATGCAAATTAAAACCACAATGAGACACCTCCTCACCCCAGTGAGAATGGCACATCTTCAAACATCTAGCAACAACAAATGTTGGTGAGGATGTGGAGAAAAAGGAACTCTCCTGCATTGCTGGTGGGAATGTAAACTAGTACAACCACTATGGAAAACTATTTGGAGGTTCCTCAAAATGCTAAACATGGAGCTTCCCTACAACCCAGCAATCCCACTCCTAGGTATCTACCCAAAAGACACAAAAACACTGATTGAAAAAGATATCTGCACCCCCATGTTTATTGTTGCTTTATTTACAATTGGAAAAACATGGAAGCAGCCCAAATGCCCAAAAGTAGATGACTGGATTAAAAAGATGTGGTACATATATACAATGGAATATTACTCAGCAACCAAAAAAGAGAAACACATGTCTTTTGCAGCAACTTGTATGGAAAAGATCATGCTTAGTGAGATAAGCCAGAAAGAGAAAGAAAAATACCAGATGGTTTCACTCATAGCAGGAGTATAATGGACCAGGCGAGAAAATAACAAGAATAATGAACAACCATATACCAGAGACATTTTGCGGGGTGGAGTGGGGAATGGGGGGTAGAGGGGAGGGAAGTGCATGGGATTATGGTGATGACACACGGGTGACATGGTTATGGATTACAATTGAGATGGAAAAAAATGTACAAAATGATGTAAAAATAAGCTGTTATAAAATTTTAAAAAAGTAATTGAACTAGTAAAAATATATATATATATATATATATATCTGCTAAGCTCATGACATTCATAGCAACATGACCGGAGCTGGAAGGGATTATGCTCAGTGCAATGAATCAGAAATACAAAATAGTTTCAGTTATAGGGAGAATATAGGGTAACCAAACAAGGGGCCAGGAAAAAAAAAAAAGAAAATATCAGCAGGCAGACTATAAATCAGATATATGCAGGTGGGGGTGGGAAGGGGGGGGAGGGGGCACCCCAGGAAGGAAGAGCACAAGAGACTTCGGTGATTGTTCAGAGTATCTTGGTGGTGGGAATTTTATGCGAACAAAACCTGAGAGGAGAAGTCAAACATTGTACAAAAATATATGTGATATAAAAATAAAGAAAATTGGAAAAAGTATATCTGAGTGCTGATAGAGATTAAAAAGTTCTGAATAGAAATACAACACAAAAACATTATCAGTGACTTCTCGGGAAGGAACTGTAATCTCACACCGAGAAGTTTGCTTTGTTCTACTGCGTACTTTTTTGCACTGCTCAGGTTTTTGACTGTGTGTGTATAACTCTTTCAATATCCTTTGACTGTGTGTGTATAACTCTTTCAATATCCTTTAAATGTGTATTATTCATTTGATGTATTTTTTTAACTGATATATTTTTTAAAGTGCTTAAAACGCCTCCTTCCCTTGAATGTCTTCTATTTTCCCCAAAGAACATCCCTCCTCCTGGTCTGGTCTGGATGCAGAACGACCATCAGTGTCCCCCCTCTTCCCCAAGGTGCCATCCACCTCTGCCTCTGCACTGCCCTTGATGATCTTCATGACACTCGGTGTATTAAGTTACAGGACAAATGCCACGTGAAAGGCCAGCAGCGTCGGCCAGTGTCTCGGGCGTTCCCCTGGACTGCTCTGATCACCCGTCCTTCCCTGCCTTTCAGTCCTCTATGTCCTTTAAAGTTGCTCTGCTGCGATGCTCTCCTGCATGCGGGCTTTGGGTCTGGGTGACTCGGTGCCCTGCAGCTGGACCCCAAGGGGCAGACAGTGCTCCAAACACCAGGACCTTCATCATTGCCTGTTCACTGGTGCCCAGTGCAGAATCACTCTAATCCACTCCCAAACAGACCATCGCCCCCAACCCAAGCTCCATAAGGCCTCCTCTGCTCCTGACAAAGATCTGGTCATTTCAAGATCTACACAACCCAGGACACATGACATTCAATGGTCAGTGGATCTGTGGTGTTTGCCTGGGCTGTTCCGACCCCATCATCTCCTGTCCCCTTTGCTCACCAAACTCCTTGGCTCTGCAACTCAGCTCCCAGTCGGTGCCCCAGCCCCCACAGACCCTGTGCGTGTATTTCCCTGGTTTTCACTCTTGCTCTTTCCCCAGGCTGTGGTCTGTGCACACTTGTCCCCAGGAGGCGGTTTGCCTGGCCACAAGGCCCCTGGGGAAGAGGGGGAAGGTGAGGCACAGCAAGGGCATGCAGTGGCCGCCTCATCCCCAACACTAGGCCAAATGGCCCTGGGCCTGGGCAGCCTGGAATCTGCTGTTCCATGCTGACAGCTCATCAGGCCAGCCCTCTCCAGCAGGGGGTTATTGGTGGCCTCCAAATCCCCTTTGGCTATTCTAGAGAAGAAAAGTACACGATATGGAAGACACATAAATTTAATTCAGGAAAAAAGTTAGACTGTCTCTGAATAAGACCGGTTAATTCACAAGTTAAATAGAAGAACTAGCACCCTGAGTAGGGACTCTCCCATTCACCCATGTCTCTCTCCTGGGTACAGCCAGAGCCTCAGCTTGGTCTGGCCTGAGATGTGTGGGGACCCAGCGTGGGGTTCAGCTCCCAACAGCTCAGAGGCCTGAGTCCGCCCCCAGTGTGTGTCGGGGGAGTGTTCACTAGGACTCAGGTTAACACATAGTCTCTCATGTGAAGAACTTTTAAAGAAGCCACAGCAGATTTCTAATACTGTGTTGTTGTATATCAAACGTCCATCTGTAGACCGCGCTGCTCTCTCGGGCCTGAGACCAGGATGGCCGCGCTCCAGGGGACGTTTGCACTTGGAGACACGCTGCTTTACATCTACTTTCACTTCCGCCAACTCTGGCCAGAGGGAAGGTTTAACATGGGGAGGGGAGCGCTGGTGATGTCCAGGTCTTCCCCCCTGGAGAACCAACTAATGAATCCACAAGTTCAGAGGGGGCCGTTTCTCTTCCTTGGAATCACCATTGTCTTTCCTTCCTCTTTGGAAGATGGGCTGGGCCAGGGAGGGGTCTAGAAATGTGGTCATTCCAGATGAGAGAGGAGGTAACACAAGGAATAGATTAGAGGACCAGGGAGAAAGAACCCTGGTGCGAATAAAGCTCTCCCCCGACATTACACAGCACTTATTTCCAGCACTTGGGTTTGCTGTGTGGACGTTCGTGAAATAGCCAAGGTCTCCCCCACTCTTGTCTGGCCTGTAAGTGAGCGACAGCATCGAATAGCCTTGCTCTTACAAAGACTGCTAAAAATCATTTCCAACACCAGCAGTACATCATGGGTGAGCACACATGTCCTTCCCAAACTAGGAATCTTCTAGAAATTGGGAACCATGTAGGGAGACTCGTGTGTTGTCAAAGCACAGACTCCCAAAGCAGACACTGACACATAGGAAGTGAGGCAGCAGCACCCTTAGGTATAAATACGAAAGTTCTCCAGCTCCCTGCGGCTCAGCCGAGCAGGGTTCTGGGCTCTGGGCATTCTGCTTCCAACCTGTGGAAGAAAAGGAGAACTTTAGACCTTACCACTAGGAGAGCATAACAAACCTAGGGGTTGTGAATTAGTACCCTCAATTTAAAGATGAAGAAAATAAAGCTCAAATAACTTGGGATCAACAACTAGTAAAAGTGGGAGGTGGTTTGAATCCAGGTTTGGCTCCAAATCGCATGCTTTTTACCCATTCTTTTTCATGAACCCCCAAGATTACTTTGTGCTCTCTACAACCCTACACTGTCCGGTGGCTTTATTGTGGGGTAACAGCAGAATTCCAGCAATGCCCACCCCATACATATTGCCTGTGTCCAATGGCAATATGTATGGAGAGGCCTTCTCTATGCCTCAGTCATTCTGGGTATAAACTGACCAGGTAATTGCCACAGATGCACCCCATGAAGGGTCAGGAGGACTGAGTGAACAGGTGCCATTTGCCTTGTCTCCACTGACATGCGACTGTGTTGGGTTGCAAGTCCCACCATGCCCTGAACCAGACTTCTTGAATGGGGGGAGCAGGGCGCAGGTGGGAAGGAGCAAGGTGGACATATAAAGGGAGGTGGAGCAAAGGAGGGAGGGAGACACAGAGGAGCTACAGAGATGGGCAGCGATGTGGAAGAAAGATGTGCAGAGACTCTTGGAAGGAATACCTGGAGAAGACATGCCCGTGACACACGGAGATGCTGCTCCCGGTGCTTGGCAGAGATGATGGCAAGCAACTGTTAACCGCATGTAGTTTTTGGTTTTTTTTTTTAAGATTTATTTATTTATGCATACAGAACTGGGGTACAGGCCAGAGGTGCAGGGGCAGTGAGAGGATTCACCAGAGACAGAGTGGGGAGCAGAACAGGCAGATCGACGAAGCACACTGCTGAGGGGAGCAGCAGGCAGGTCAGGAGAGGTCTGCCACACCATGTGGTCACCTCCGGGGCAGGGATTGAACTCACGCGAAAGTGACTTAAGCTTCTCAGTGCTGTGCTTTAACCTGCTGCGCCACCAGGGAGGGCCTGCATGTGGATTTTTATGGTGTATATTTTGAATTCTGAATCTCTCCTTCTGTCCTAGCCTCTTTCTTGTGTTCTTTGCCAGACAGCACTTGTAAGAAGCTTTTAGGCCTCATTGGCCTTGTTCAGGATGAGCATGTTTGGGAAATTGCCCATCACCTCACGGGCAATTTCGGAAGTTTTATTAGGAGTATCCTTTTCTTCTTTCTCTCTCCACACACCAATTATATATTGAAAAAAAAAAATTTGAAACATACTAAGAGTACACTTTCTTTGCCTTTGCCCATGCAGATGGAAGATCCCTTTTAGAGCATATACTCTTTAACAGTTTGGGGTCCCTGGGCACCCCTCAGTCATGAGCTAACATAATGATACCCACCTCATGTTGTTCTGCAAAGTTTAAATGGGTATTCACCTGACACCATTGATAGGTGACTATCAACACAATAAATCTTAATAATTGTTGAGTTACTTACTTTCCACCTCCTAAATGGCCTGGTGAGAATCATCTTAGCACCAAGCTCCGGTCACCTTGGTACAGTGTCTGTCATCATAGCAAACTAACATCAGCTATGTTCCAGAACGATTTGTGATTACATGTCAACTTTGGAAAATTATTTAGATCCACTTGTCTTTCCCTCTTTGCCCTCTAGCTCTCTCCCCTCCCCCCACACAAAAAAAACACCTAAAAAAAAAAAAAGGGGGGGCCCCCCCCTGGGGGCACAACAGGTTAAAGTGCAGCACTGAAGCAAGCTGCAATCACTTCAGTGATTCAGTTCGATCCCCTGCCCTGGAGCTGACCCACCTACTGCTCCCCTCAGCAGTGTGTTTAATCAATCTGCCTGTCCTGCTCCCCACTCTGCTCTGGTGAATCCTCTCACCGCCCCTGCACCTCTGGCTTATACCCCAGTTCTGTATGCATAAATAAATCTTTTTTTAAAAGTGAAAGAAAACAGAGATGTGCACTGCATGACCCACAGCAGGGAGGTCCCCAATGTATAACTCAAGATCCCCAATAAGAATCCAACCCCACACATGACATGACCTTGGTTTCTCTCTCACTCTCCCTGGAGCTCAGTTTTTGTTGTTGTTGTTGTTGTTCTCTAAAATGGAGACTTGGATTGGAAGATCCCTAAATCCCCTACAATTCTGAGAGATGCTGGATGATTTTTCACAAGTATGAGACTTCAAGGTCATGCTGTGAGCACTAAGCCCACTCAGAAGAATCCCAGAGTCTTACCTCTTCATAGACAGTGCAGTTGACAGAAGAGCTGTGGTTCCTCTTCTGGATCCAGACCGGAAATTCAGAGGTAAAGAGTACTTAGCTTCAACTCGAGAAATATCCTATACCTAACGAATGTGAGAGGTCCCCCAAAATATTCAGGGCCCAAAGTTCCCTGAGGTAGTTCCAGTCAAAAGAGAACTGAATCTCCTACCCCAGGAGTAAAAGATTGCACTTATGGTTTCCAGAGAAGGCGTGAGGCATAGGGGCCTACAGTTTCTCACTTTCCAACCAAAGTCGGAGTTGAAAATTGCACCACCTCATAAGCGCCAAGTCACACAAGCACACCCTCCTGCAGCAGCATGCAAACCTGCTGCAGGCCGTGCCTCAGGCCAGGCACCTCCATCCTGTGGCCTCCTGGCCCAGAGGGTGGGGAAACCCAGCTGAGTGCCAGCCCAGCAAGCCTGAGCATAAGAGACCGCCGGTGCCAGGCTGGGTCAGGCTCAGGGCATTGCACTCATAACACAAGCCGGAGTGTGGGACCCCGGCGCCCCGACCGCCTGCATGTCCCTGTATTGTCACTTACAATTTAACTTTAATTCTCTCTTGTGGCATTAAATTGATTGACTGTCTTATTAGTAAGAGATGAATGAAAAATCTGAAAATCTGTCCTGACCTAACCTAACTAACCCTAATCTGCCCTAACCTAACTAACCCTAATCTGTTCTAACCTAACTAACCCTAATCTGTCCTATCCTAACTAGCCCTAATCTATCCTAACCTAAATAGCCCTAATCTGTGCTATCCTAACTAGCCCTAATCTGTCCTAATTTAACTAGCCCTTTCTCCATTTGACAGCTGAACTGCATACACACAGCTTGCGCTGGAGCCCTCTTTTCTTGTTCTTTTGCTAGTCAATAAACAGTGGCTCCTCACCTGCCCTCCCCAGCATCTGTGGAGTGTTCTTGGCAAGGGCCAAGGGCCTTTTCCTGAAGGAGCAGGACCCTCAGTCCACCCCACAGGCTCCCTGTGGATGCAGCGGTGAACAGTGGCTGGTTCACTCCCAGCTTGTCAGCCACTATTATGGGGAGGTTGGGATCTAGCTGGGGGCCACAGGTGTGCCCACTTCATCCGGTGACATTTCCACCCCCTTTCAGCAAGGTGACAGCAGGATACTCAAGTCTGCTTCTAGGTCCACATGGAGTGGTGAGCTCAGCTTGGAGCAGGGTTCAGGAGACCAGGAGGGGCTCACAGTAGGCCCCACCGGCAGGCCAGTGGCAAAAACTTGCCTGTCATCCTCTAGGCCAGTGGCTCCCACAGTGAGGCCTTGGCCCTGCCTTGGAGATCTCCCCAGGGTCTCTGCCACCCCATCCGGCCTTCTGAGGACCCCATGGCCTTTGGGTGTCCCTCATCTCCCACAGAAACTCCCCAGACCTGAATCCTCTTAATCCACTGTTCTCTCAGTCTCAGAGCCATTGTTTTCCTCCAAACAGAACCAGAAATGCATCTGTAGTTGACCTTTTAATCTTTAAATGCTACCAGTTAACATGGAAGGGCAGCACACTCAGCAGGCACACATGTCAGTGAGCGTCTGTGTCCTCTGCCCAGGACTCACCTTCTGGGTAATCTGCACTTGTGCATACACAGTTTTTTCATTTTCTTGTGATGTCGAAGCAGAAGAAGACTAGTGAGAAAAGAGATCAAACCTTGTTAGAAGCAGAGGTCTAGCACAGCCCTAGGAGACAGGCCCCTCAACCCCTCCCCTACACTCCCATTTGACCTGCCCAGACTGCAGATTTTTGAGTCAGTGACAAGAACTCAGAAATCTAAATGATACCCCTGTTATTAAAAAAAAGCTGCTCTTCATAAGCAAAAATGTTCAACATCACTTGTAATAAGGGAGATGCAAATTAAAGTCACAATGAGATACTACCTCACACCAGTGAGAATGGCACATCTTCAAACAACTAGCAACAACAAATTTTAGCAAGGATGTGGAGAAAAAGGAACTCTCCTGCACTGCTGGTAGGAATGCAAACTGGTACAACCACTATGGAAAACTGGAGGTTCCTCAAACTGCTGAAAATGGAGCTTCCATATGACCCAGCAATCCCACTCCTAAATATCTACTCAAAAGACACAAAAACACTGATTGAAAAAGATACCTGCACCCCCATGTTTATTGCTGCTTTATTTACAATTGGAAAAACATGGAAACAACCCAAATGCTCTCGAGGACTGGATTAAAAAGATTAACACATGCCTTTTGCAGCAACATGGATGGAGCTGGAAGGGATCATACTTAGTAAAATAAGCCAGAAAGAAAATGAAAAATACCAGGTGGTTTCACTCATAGCAGGAGTATAAAGGACCAGGCAAGAAAATAATAATAATAATGAACAACTATATACTAGAGACATTTTATGAGGGTAGAATGGGGAGTGGGATCAAAAATGGAGGGGGGTGGGAAGTGCACTGGTCTATGGTGATGGCACATGGGTGACTCAGTGATGGGAAGCCCATGGGGATTACAACCGAGATGGAAAAAGTCACAAAAAGATGTAAAAATAAACTATTCTATTATTCAAAAAAAAAAGGCTGCTTTTTTTCAGGCACTCGTTCTGTACATTTATCCCCCCTAAATCCCAGCTCCTGTAAGACAGAGCTGACTGTAACATGCCCCCCTCTGCCGGTGAGGCTCCAAATGGCAAATAACCCAAGTCCTACTGTTCACGATCAAAGAGGGATTGAGCCCCCAAACTCTGCAGGGCTCTTTGCTGGGTGCCTCCCAGGGCAGAGTGCCTTCCTATCCTGGAACTGAGCCCAGTGTCCCTGAGACAGGCAGCCACCTCCTCTTAAGGTGATGTGAAGGGAAATAGCATTTCACCCACAGTTCACTCTGAAGGGAGGTTTTCCTTGCATTTATACAAATGCTCTTGTTGGAATTCAGTGTAGCTAAAACCGGAGAACTGGCAGGCATAACCTCTCACATCTTTGAGACTCTAGCTCTGACCCACTATCAGTAATCACACTGTCTTAAGGAGGGCACCCAAGCAGGGGGCCCCGAGCACCTCTGGATGGTTGAGTGCCCCACCTCTTCTTCTCCCTCGCCATCTCTCCCCCCTCTATGATCCCCTCCCCAGCCCGCCCTTCCTTTCCTCTCCTTTCTCTTCCCCTCATGCCAGCCGCTTGCTCTTCTCCTTCCTTTCTCCCCTTCTGCCTTTTCTTGATCTTTCTCTGAAGGCTGTCACTCTTCCAAAGGATACTCTTGCCCCACAGTTCAACCACCAAGCTAAAGTGGCCACTTATTCTTTTCTTGTGTTGTTGTTTCTATAGAAAATGTCATCCCTAGACACCAGGGGACAGTGTTTCCCTAGAACTGTCTCAACTTGGGTCATCAACCCTGTCATCTTAGTCATCAATGCTAGAGGAAGCTTCTCCAGTTTCTATGAGAATTCCTGTAGCCCCAGAATGTGAGAGATGTGGTAGGGAGGTGGAGGAGAGTCTCCGATATCTCTGGGCTCTGCTGTCCCAGCTCTGTGACCTGGAGCACAGGTCCTTACGAGTCTGCTTGCTCGTTGTGAAGTAGGGATTGTCTTGGGCCTACTTGAAGCAGTTATATGAGGTTCACTAAGAAAAAAGACCTAAGTAATCTGTGTTATCATTTGGTCATGTAAGATAAGAGGACACACAGATCCAGTCTTTTCTGAAACAAGCATAATTGGGTGTGGGATAAACATACAAGGGTTTCCCTGGACTGGAAGCAGCAGGGAAGGGACAGACAGGAGAGTAAATCTCCCCCTTCCATGGTTTATCTTGGCCCACCACCTGGCTGGAAGGGGACGGCATCTGCCCCCCGACTTTCCTGTTCTGTTCAGCAAGAGCATGAGCCCAGAACTATGCTGACTTGCAAACAACTAAGAACAGCCAAGCCAAGCCACTATCTAGACTACAAGAGCACCAGGACCTTTAAGGCATACATTTCTGGGGTACATTGGGAAGCCCTAGAGACAGGTATGGAATGGGTGAGAGAAACCTGAGTAGTACCTGGGGCTGAATCAAGGAGTAGATGGTGTTCATATCTTCCGGAGTACGCTGTGCCGGCGCCTGCATGAGAAAAAAAAAAAGGGACATGTAGCAACAAGTTCCAAAGGCTGTGTCTGCCCAGGTTTGGACAGAATGGGACAGGCAGCAAGAACCAGAGAGGTTCCCAGAAATAGGGAGGGAGGAGCTCACTGGTCACTAGAATGAGAGACACTAGAAAGAGCCAACTCACCATAGCAGACGCTCCTCAGGGGGCACCACCACTTGCTCTTCTCTGGAAACTTAGAATCTCACCTTTGCTGACCATTGGGCTACATTACCCCATAACCACTGATAATGGGCTAAGCACTGAGCCTTAACTCAGGGCACTGACAGTCAGACATGGAAGCACTTTAAAGCTGGCCTTGAGAGCTGGCCTGGCTCTTGGCCACAAGCCAAGCCGGGTGGCTGTGGTGGTACAGGGTGGAACCCTGGACACAAGGCCAGGCAGGAGCACACGCCCTTCCTGCCTTCCCATGTAGCCTTGACCACAGGAGAGGGCTCTGTTGGTTTGGTTGAGGGGACCATTGTAGTCCAGCTGGGTAGAAACAGCTCCCAAAAGCAAGAAGAGATCAAGAAGAACAGAGAGGCCTAGCATCCTTGGAGTTGGAGAGTGGTGAACATCTCGCAAGAAGCAGAAGTCTGTTGCTTTTCTCTCCTACCCACCACAAGTGAAGTGTCTCCAGAAAGATGGGAGATGGGTCCAAAGTGAGACCACAGGAGGTTGAGATTTAAGCCTTCAAAGGGAACCATGGAGACAGTAGGAGAGGCTGGGGGTTGAGGGGCTGAAGCTTTGGGGGTCACCCCAGAGTCAAAAGCAGATTGACAGGTCTGAATCTCCAAGAGGATTCTGTTGCTCTAAATATAGGTATTTTTCTCCTCTGTTTATCAAAAGGAGTCGTTGTGGGGTGGGGGTGCTTTAAGGAAGCACTGCAGCTCAACGGCTGTAGGGAGATGCACTTGCTCTCAGCCTTGTACCAGAGTCTGGTACTGACTTGGGGGGGCACCTTTTGTTTGTCACCCCCCAATATTCTGCAATTATGGCAAGGAAACAGGTGTAGCAGGGTAACCCCTTTAACAAGGGGAGCCACCCACAGACCCCCGACCTGAGGGAAGCTACTTCCGCATCCGGAGGTCTCCAGAGCCTCACACATGTGGTGGGCGGAAAAGCTCACCACTGTACTGTAACCACTGTGACTTCCGCCTCCTCCCCAGGCCAAGCACCAGCATGGAATGTGTCGCGGGTGGATGGAGACCCTCCTGCCCACCCCTACCTTCCCACCCAGCAACTCAGGTCAACTGAGATTCAAGGCCCCTCCCCTCTGACGGTCACTGTGTCCTGCCCTGCTCAGGGCCAGAGCAGTTGGGTAACCTGAGGCCTCTCGGCAGCTCCCTCTCCCAACCCCATGACAGGTAGCGCTGGCTTGTGAGCTTGGGGGATCCAGGCTCCACTCTGGCGCATCGCCTGCCACCAGCCTGGTTCTTCTCCAGCACTTTGGTCAGGCTGACCTCTTGTCTCCAGATGTGAACACAGGTCCAGAGACAGCTGCAGTGCTCTGGCATTTGGGCTGCCCAGGCTGGCATGCCCGCAGCCTCCCTAGTGGGGGGACCTGGATGGTCGTCGTAGACTTGGGGGAAAAACTCTTGTTCACACACAAAATACAAGGGTGGGCTCTTCTTGAGGTTCAACCCAGGTGGTGAGACTGGGCAGAGATGGGGGTACCAGGGTGCCATGTGGGGGCAAAGCAGCATCCTGCCACCTGCCACTGAGCCCAGCTGGGCCCACCCCTCCCAGCAGGTCCTGTTCTGTACCAGAAAGCCCTTCTGCCTCTTTTCAACTCCTCTGTCCCCTTCTCTTTCCCTCCCCAGCCTGCGCTGGGGGGCTATGGGGACAGAGGTCAGGATGGAGGATAACTCCAAGAGGCCCTCCCCTCTTGACCCTGGCTCTGGCCATTCTCCCAAGACCCTCTTCCAGATGACTTGAGAGAAACCCCAGCACCACAGGCACCATACTTGATCTCTCCTGGGCTTCACAGTGTTGACATGTTCATACGTTGGCAGAAATTGCTGTTGTCTGTCTTCTGTGAGAGGAAGGAGGCAAAAAACAGAGCTGTGAGCGGAGCCGTGGGAGGCCCAGAGAGCGCCCTGCCCTGCTTCTGTTTCCCACCATGCGTCTCCATCCTGTGGAGAAAGACTCCAGCATGGAAGTCAGTTCTCTCCCCAGGACACCCAGAGGACACAGGAGCAGCAACCACCTGAACAGAATTGTTACTCTGCGGGCAACCCGCCTCCAGCTCAGCCACACCCCCACCCCCCACCCTCTGCAAGTTGGGGATCAAATAGCAGGAGCTGGGAGGAAACACCTGCAGCCACTGCTTCCCATCCCCCTGCCATGTACAACACAGCTTAACCCTTCCCAGGAAAAGCAGGGGCTAAGCGACGGAGGGGCTGGGTGTCCAGCCAGGTGGCAGCACCTGCTGGGACCGTCCACTTACCTGACTGATTCACCTTCTTCTTCCGCACACAGAAGCAGACAGTGATGACGAGGATGAACAGCAGCAGCATGGCTGAGCCAGCTATGGAGGGTATCAGCACCCTCTCTGGGGGCACAAGGGGTTAAAACACAACACTATGAAGCTGTGGCAGCCACTGTGGCCGGGTTTGATCCCCAGCCGGGGATTGAGGGGGGCCATATATGACACAGCGGACCTCTCCTGTCTCCCCTGCTGCTCCCCTCAGCAGTGTATTGCAGCCAATCTTCCTGTTCTGCTCCCCACTCTGTCTCTGGTGAATCCTCGCACCCCCTGCACCTCAGGCTTGTACCCCAGTTCCTATATACATAAATAAATTCATCTTTAAAAAAAGATTAGGAGTGGGGAGTCAAACTCTGAGGGATCAGAAAGGCACGGGCCTAGCACACAGCCGGCTGTCCCTCCCTGCCTGTCTACAGCATTCTTTGCGCGCCCGGCCGTCTCAGCCTGAGCTCCCCACAAAGCTGTCTGTGCTCAGCTGGGCGACTGCCCTTGGCTGATGCTGACCCGCATGGCAGCTAGTACTGACAGACCTGGCTCCAACTGTCATCCTTGAATAGACCCTCTCTACATAATGGGCACTCTAGAAAGGGCACCTTCTTGGGGGCCTTCCCGAACTCCTCTGAGACTTCCAACTTGCAAAATGGATATGTTATTACGTAGACCCCGGAGGGATGCCCAGACCTTAGTGTAGTGGGCAAAGCCTCAGCACAGCCAATGTCTCATCATCCGGGCCTTTGTTTTAGCTGAACAAACACGGGTGGCACTGCGCTGTCCCAGGCCAGTCTTCCACTGGGTCCCCAGCAGCCTAACACACAAGCCCACCAGCCCGGGAGGAGGAAAGAGCAGTGTCCAGGTCCTGCTGACGGGGCTCTCAGCAAACGTCTCCTCCAATCTTTTTTAACAATTTTATTTTATTTATTTATACATACAAGAGCTGGGGTGCAGGCCGGAGGTGTGGGGGTCATGAGAGGACTCACAGAGACAGAGTGGGGAGCAGAACAGGCAGATGGAGGAAGTACACTGCTGAGGGGAGGAGCAGGTGGATCAGGAGAGGTCTGCCTCGCCATGTGCATCACCCCCATGGCCAGGGATTGAACTCTCGGCTACAGTGGCTGCTGACAGCTTGATAGTGCTAAGACTCAACCCTTGCACCACCAGTGAGGCCCAACTCCTTCAGTTTTAACAGGTTGTGAGGTTCTTATTACCATCATCTCCAAAAGAAGAGGTGAAGTTCAGAAAAGTTAATGACCCAGCCTGAGATCACAGAGCTAATAAATGGCAGAACCATGACTGATGTGACCCTCAAATCAGTGTCACTCCATATGACTTCTGGGTTGGTTTGGATTTTTTTTTTTTTCCTGCTTTTTTTTTTCTCATATTTATCCAGTTTTTTAGAGATTTATTTATGTATGCATACACAACTGGGGTACAGCTAGAGGTGCAGGAGGTAAGATGATTCATTGGAGCAGAACAGGCAGATTGACAAAGTACACTGCTGAGGGGAGCAGCGGGCAGGTCAGGAGAGGTCTGTCAGGCCATGTGGGTCAGCTCCCTAGCCAGGTATCGAAATTGTGCTGCAGTGGCTGCAGACAGCTTCACAGTGCTGTGCTTTAACCTGCTGCGCCACCAGGGAGGGCCCCTGTTGGTTCTTTAAGGACAGAAATGTCCCTGTAATAGCCACATTGGTGGCACTCGAAGTCTAATCAAACGTGGTAGAAGCACAGCTCAGGGTAGTCATCAGGATGGGATAAGCAATAAACAAGGATTCTCCTAGGTTTCCCTGTGATTATCCTGGGGAGCAACCTGGCAAGGGGAGCTGGCCCCTGTAGGAAGAAACAGGTGTCTCAGAGAGCAGCTGCCACAGCGGGCCATGGTTCAACAAAAACCACACACACAGTAGGGAGAACACGCCTCCCAGGAGAGCTGCACAGACTCACATTCTCCCTAGCAGGCCTGGTTTTACAGAAACTGTGTGTTGAGGGGCCAGGATCCCCAAGAATGGCTATATTCCCCACTTTCCTGGGGGAGGCAGCCAGGACATCACACACAAGATTCTTGCTCATGAGCCTATTTTGTGCTCCAACACCTCCACCCTGGTAGAGCTCACCCCCACTCCACTCACCCCCACTCCACTTACTCCAACTCTGACAGTACCCCATGAGGTTGAGGGTGCTGTATGCCACGCTGAATGAGTAGTTGACAGAGCAGGAGTACAGCAGCACGCTGTCGTCAGCCACCTGCTCTGAGTAGGTCTGGTACCCCCACTCCTGGATCCTCTCCTCTCCTCTAAACCAAGCAAAGTTCATGTTGATGTCGTCATCCCTGGAAATCGAGCAGTTCAGAGACACTAGGCACATCCCTCCATCCAGGATCTTTGTCTCGCCCTGTAGCGTGGGGCCCTCTGCAAGCAGAGATTCTGGTCAGAAAGACTTGGACATACAAGACCTGGAGAAGCCAAGGGACAGAGCAGGCTGCCGGGAACTCACCCAATATGAAAACCTGGAAACAAACATTCTCATTATCCCCATTCTGTAGGGTGAGCTTCAGGAGGTAGAGGCCACTGTCCTCCGGCCACCCCTCCTTGATATGAAGAGTAAAGTCCTCCTGTGCAAAATTAATTTGATTGTTGAAGTGAGTCAAAGACCAATTTCCATAAAGCGGCTTCTTGGCTGGATGCTCCCAATCCAGTATCACATACGTGTTTTTTTCTGCTTTTTGCTTAAAGGTCCATTTAACTGAGACGTTCCCTGTCTGTGTGCTGTTGGGCCGCAACCAGAGAGGCTGTCCTGAGAGTCCAAGCACGATGCGGGTATCAGAATTTGGACATTCTAAAAAAGAGAACCCAGTTAGAGGTGTCAAGCCCGAGTCTGTGGGCAATTGATGTGACTCCCTTAAGCCAAAAGTTTGGGCACATTATGAAGACCCCCCAGAGCCTCAGAGAACCCAAAAGTGTGTATCTGCCCCATTCTGTACAGGCTGAGTAGAAGCCCACAAACCAACGATAACGCCCAAAATCTTGAGTACTCCCATTGGGGAAGGCAAGTTCTAAATACTTTCACCTTTTAAATATTTCACTTCACGATGAGCCCAGGAGAGCCTTACCCCCACTGTAGAGGAGAGGAACCTGAGTTATAAAGGATTTAGTAAGTCGTTCAAATCACACAGTGGAGCTCCGTGTCGGAGGTGACGCCCTCCTGACAGTGCTGGCGGCCAGTGGTGGCTGCAGGAAGCCTGGCCAGACCCAGTAAGACTGTGGTCCCTCTCACCTTCCCATAAAGCTAGACTCATAACCCCTCCAGCAGCACTGGGCACACAGTGGTGATTATCACTCAGTAATATTTGCTGATGTTTCGTCACCAGGAGTGAATTGTACCCAAAACGATTTGTCCCTAGAAAATAATTAGAGGGTCCCTGCCTGGTGGCAGATCAGGTTAAAGTGCAGCACTATGAAGCTATCATAGCCACTGCAGCACAGGTTCAGTCCCCGGCCCCTGAGGTGACCCACATGGTGCAGCAGACCTCTCCTGACCCGCCCCACTCCCCTCAACAGTGTACTTCAATTTGTCTCTGGTGAATCCTCTCCCTGCCCCTGCACCTCTGGCGTGTACCCCAGTTCTTGTATGCATAAATGAATAAATCTTTAATAAATAAATAAGTTCTCCATGACCTCCCAAAGCACCCAGAGACTTTTCACTTCCTGCATCTACTGGGCCATATCCCATAGCCACAGGGCCACAGTGACTTTAATTTTGCTTCTGCCGTGGGCTGCTTTCGGGTGGCCAGCAACTCTCGGTCATATCTCATGTACTACTCCCATTGTAGACTTTAGGGAGGAAAGTGCTAGTTTATGTCTACCAGGGTAGTTTTATTTTTCTCTTTCTAATTCTTTTCTTTTTTTTTTAATATTTATTTATTTCTGCACACAAGAACTGCAGGCCAGAGGTCGGGGGGTCAGAGGATTCACCAGTGACAGAAAGGAGAGCAGAACAGGCAGATTGAAACACACTACTGAGGGGAGCAGCGGGTGAGATAGGAGAAGTCTGCTGGGCCATGTGGGTGACCTCCCTGGTGGGGAATCGAACTCGTGCTGCAGTGGCAGCTATAGCTTCATATTGCTGCGTTTTAACCCCTTGTACCACCAGGGAGGGTCCAGAAAATATACTTTTTAGAAGAAAGCATGGAAAATATCTCCTACATCTTGAGGTAAACAAATATTTAATAGGACAACAAAATTACTAACTATAAAAGAAGATTGGTAAATCGGAGTTTATTTAAAATTAGAACTATTTTTTATAAAAAGACAACATTAATGAAGTGCAATGAATATATTTAATAAAGTATTCATATTTAGAATATACAAAGAATCCTTACAAATGAAAACAGATTGACAACCCAACAACAAAAAGTAAGGAAAGATTTGGGCAGGCAGTTCCCAAAAAGAACACCCAAATTGTTACAGAGCAACCCAGAGTAGACTGGGCTGCCTCTCTGTGGGGCCTCACCCACACACTCAGTTACACTGCACCCACAATTCAGTTACACTGCAGGGACACACAAAAGGGTCAATAACGGGTTTATTTACAAAAGGGAAAAGGAATAGGAAACAACCCAGGGAAAGAGAGCGAGATACAAAGTTAACTGCAATACCTTACAGCTAGGCTGACTGAACACACCGAGTCACCAGGTCAGGAGAGCTGCTTCCCAAGTGAGAGAGAGTGAGAGATGCAATCGCACCCTATTTATCCCCTAAATGTCCCAGAATTCATTCCTGCTAGCTCCACCCTTGGGTCCTCGCACTTCTCTCCCTGGTACTGCTGGGAGTTGTAGTTTCCAAATCACTGGAGTAGGTTGTAGGGTCCAGAAAGCTGGAGTAGGGGGTGGAGTCCATAAGACCCTGCAGAGTTCCTTTAGGACATCCTTCCCCTTAACAAAATGACCAATGAACATGCAAAAAACTTATCCAACAATCACTGGTCATCAAGAAATAGTGAAATTTCTCTCCATCCCTGCCAAAACAGCTAACATTTAAAGACCTGAAAATTCCAAGTATTATCAGGGATGGAGAGCGACTATTGCTAAAGGAAGTGTAAATATAAATGACACAATCTATGCAACGTCTATCGACTGACAGATTCCGGGTAGATCAGGAAAAGCTCTGAAAAATCAGAATTTCCACTGCTAACTTATGTTACGACCTCCCTTTTTTGTATAATCATAATATCAAAATATTCTGAGCAGCCATCAATTTACAAAATATTCTGAGCAGCCATCAATTGTCTTAGCCTCATAAAGCAGCTGCCTGGTTCAGGCAAGCTGCCCCAGGGCAAGAAATCCCTCTGTCTCCTGAGACAGAAGGCAAGCCCCAGGAGAGATAAGACTCCAGGGCATAAAAACTCCTGGGAAGCTTCCTTGGTTTCTTTGAATAAGACTCCCAGGGCATGGAGAAATTTTGGCCTTGATTACACAGGTGTTGTTTGATGCACAACTGTTACAACTTTCTCTTGGTTTGCTCCTTTTTAAAACAAGCTCTGGCTGCTCTCTGCTGGCCTTGGATTAGCCACTAGCTCTTCTTTGGACAATCACTGATAACATTGCTAACACAATCTACTACTACCCCAAGTCCCCTAATAACCTTTTGCTAACGAGCTCATCCCTTCCCAGACCTCTCTTCCTTTGAGCGATAGCTGGACAGCTGTCACATGACAATTACCACAAAAACATATAATCTAGTGTACCATAATATGTTAAGAGAGGAATCTTTGTTCCCCTTGTCCTTGAGAATGTGTTATGGTGATCTCTCATTAGCTTGTCCTCTGCATTATTGCAATTGGCTACTTGTTACACAGTATAAATAAAGACCTGCTGAGGGAATGCCAGGAAGACTTGCACCCTATCCTGACTCCCGTGTCTTCCTCGTGCCCGCTCCTCTCTCCCCTTTTGGAATCTCCGCTCGCCAATGCCTTCCCACCTTAGGGCCCTGCCTGTCTTGCCTCCAGACACCTCGATAGTTGGAGCTGGTCTCCAACATATAACCACTTTGAAAAATTGTCTGATGGTATCTTCTAAAACTAAACGTACAAATACCCTATGACAGGTGAATTTGTACAGTCAAGAAAACCCAATGTTTATGTTGATAAAAACATATATTAGAATGTTCACAATGGTTTTAGCTATAGTAATTCAAAGTGGGGTACAAACCAACCCAAATATCTAATGTCATTAGAAGAATAATTTGTGTTAAATTCACAGAATGAAGTATTACATAATGATGAAAAAGAACAAACTACTACATAAGCAAAGCACATTTTATAAGCAAAAATGTGGATGGACTTTACCAACATGGAAATTAGTAAAGAAGCCAGACCAAAAAAAAAAAAAAAAAAAGAATATGTAGTAACTGCTCTTTATAGGAAATTCAAAATAAGGAAAAATTAGTCTATGGTGAGATTACTTAGAATATTGAATTCTAATGGCAGAATTATCAAGTTGGAAGGGAAACGAAAAAAGGAGTGTGTGGAAGTATGGGAGGTATTTTACATCTTACTGTGGGTTGTAGTTACATGCTTAGTTGTAGCCATACATACATAAAACCTCTAACTTTTGTTCATCCAGCTGTTCACTTAAATTTTGTGCACATTACTGTAAGTTATATCTTGATTTAAAAAAAAAAAAAAAGGTGTGAATACGGTCTACAAGCCACTATGCTTGGGGTATTGCATCTGATAGAAACTTCAGTCCCTGTCCCTAAGGAGGTTGTACCCCAGATGTAGAGATAAAAAAAAAAAACACCAATATGAAAGACAACTGCACACAGGTTTTCATGTACTTTCTGAGAGGGGAGGAAGTCCTTCTGCAAGTGCCACTTGTTCACAGAGAGGCCACAGCAGATTCCGGTGGTCAGAATTGCTCAGGGCTGCAGTCACCACTGTTGCTACTTTTCAGCAGCTTTGGGGCCCCTCTTCCTGTAGTAAAGAGCAGACAGGGTGAGATAGCAACTGCAGAGGAAGGTCAGAGGACCAGTGATGACCTGCTGTGCCTCAGAAAGTAGTAGGCAGGGTGGTCAAGGAGATTATTTGGGTCTCCTCAGCCCTTGGCCCTGCTATGTGGACAGTGCAAGCTCTGCGGCAGGAAATGTCCACTGGTCTGGATCTGCTTATAGAAGCAGAGGTGAGGCGTAAGTGCAGGAGTGGTCAAGGGAGAGTCTCAGAGCAAAAGGATGTTGAGGTTTCCCAAGCTGCCATCAGGCTGGTGGTGAAGGGGACCGAAGAGGCTCCGCTAGGGACTGCGTGAACAGAGTCCAGTGAAATCCAAGAGGGAGTGAAATCCAAGAGGGCATGGAGGCAGGCGAGCCCGAGGCTAGGTGAAGCAGTAGAGTAGATCAGGTATCCTCCAGGGCCTATTTCCCAGCCCTCTTCTCTCCATGCCCCCCACCATATGCAATGCCAGCCCTTGCCTGCACCACACTTACAGAGCAAGACCCCTCCTGGTAGCAGTTTTCTGAGTCATCTCATCTGTGAGAATTTCTCCAGGGTCACAATGTGCACTTGCCTTTCATGTTTCCCTTCAAATTCTGTGATTTCCCTACTCAGTTTACTCTGCTTAGGTGCTTCTACATCATTCCTACCTCCTGAACTCTTTCACCCCCGTTTTATTGAGAAACATAGTCCCTGTAAAAACTTACGTCAGGGGGACATCAGTACTTGATTTATATAGCCTGTGAAATGATCACCACAATAGCTTCAGCTGATACCCACCATCTCATATAGATTCAACAAAGAGGAAGGAAAGAAGAAAAAAATGTTTTTATGATGCAAATTCTTAATACCTA